CTTGTGCTCTCTGTCTCTCATTCTCTCTCTCTCAAATAAATAAATAAAATCTTTAAAAAAAAAAAAATAAAGAGAAATATGTACTTATTTACCATATACAATCCAGCAATTTCAAGCCTAGGCACTCACCCAAGAGAAATGAAAGCCTATGTTCCTATAAAAGCCCCCTGTGAAAGTTCCAGGATGAGTGATCACTCGGGAGCAAGGCAAGTGTGAGGCCTGGGCCCTGCTGGCAACAGAGGAAGAGGATGACCAAGGCCAGAGGCAGGACAGGAGAGTGAGGAGGACTGGGTGCTGGCAGCAACCCTCACCCTGGACATGCACCAACCCCCTGCCAGTCAGTCTGAGGCTGCTTCCTCAGGTCCCACACTGAGTTTCATCACCTAGACCCTCAGAAGGTCTCTGTCCCCCAAACCCAAACATCTAACAAATCTCTTTTCTCTGAGCCCCTGAGAACCTCACTGTAGCATCAGCCACACATTCCAGCCTGAGTGCACATTTCTGCCACCGTAGGAACCAAGAGGAGTCAGGCAGTCATCTAGCAGACAGCACAGTCTCTGCCACACTGGGCAGTGGTGGTTTTTCTGAATATAGTAACTAATCAACAGATTCAATCTCTACTATTTCATACGTTTAACACTTTATGCCTAGGCCCTATTCACCCCAACAAAAACAAACATCTTAAGAAAAAAATACCTAGCTTGTACCTATTGTATCAGGGACTCAAAAGCTTTACCTACTTTGTAGCAGGTACTCAAAAAGTGTTTCTTGATGAAAAGCTTATAATTATATATTATACTGCATGTTACTTTATGGGATCTTCTGAGAATTCAGAAGAGAAAAACAGTGAGGCGTAAGATTCATGAAGTCAAGGTCTTCAAAGCAAGGCATATTTGAACAGCCATGTGCTGTTTCAAGCAGGAGAATAACCAAATCAAAGTGGTTTCAAGGCATCTTGTGGCAGGAGACCAACAGGTGGGACACAACCCAAAAGCAGAGAAGTGGAACACAGGAGGACTGTTGGCAATAGAAATGTTTTTAAAGAAAACTGTGACAGAACAATGATTGACTAGTAATAGGAAAATTTTTTTTAAAGCCAAAAGTCCCAAGACCAACGTGACTTGGCCAAATGGAGGGGAGAGGTGAGAGTGGTGGAGTGGTGGAGACTGGGACAGTTAAATCAAATCTGGGACATGCTGAGCTTGATACTGATGAAGGTGCCAGTGTTACGGATGGCTGGGTGGTAGGAAAGGTTTTCCAGGAGAAAACACTTTAATAAGGAGAATTTAGCTTCAATCTGCTTAGGTTTGAGGTCTCCAATTATTATAAATTGTGTTCCTCATCTCAAAGATTCACATTTTTTTTTAAAGATTTTATTTATTTGAGAGGGAGAGAGAGAGAATGCACAGGAGCAGGGGGAGGGGCAGAGGGAGAAGCAGACTTCCCACTGAGCAGGAGCCTGACATGGGGCTTGATCCTAGGACCTGGAGATCATGACCTGAGCCAAAAGCAGAGGCTTAACCAACTGAGCCACCCAAGCGCCCCATCAAAGATCCACATTTTTAATGAAGCTTCTGAAACCAGGATGAACCTTCATCATACATGATGATATGGCAATTCTTTTTACTCAGAATAGTTATAAATCCAAGGCCCTTCTTACATGAGTGGCATCTTATGATCAAGGACAAATAGTAGTTTCACTACATCACATTATCAACTTTATATACAGAAAACTCTCAAAGTAACAATGATTCTATACTATAAAGCATTTAATTTTGTTTTTCTTTTTCCCGCCACCCCCTTCCTTATTGATCAGCGATCCCAATAACGTGTGATGTTCCTCAGAACTGAAGTTGACACTTACCCCCAACTTCTGAGGAAATATAAAAATCAAATACAAAAATACATACCACTTTCTTTCCAGAAGGTTCCCAGAGAGAAATATCTCCCCATGATGTGTTAAAAAAGTACTTCTCTCCTGGATCAAAGCCTTTAAGGTCCTTTTAAAAAGGCAGAAAAAGAGAGGTCATTAAGCAATTTCAGAAGATAAAGAAATATTTAATAACCTGAAGGGATTATTTAGCACCTAAGAAATCTACATGGGAAAGTGAAATGAAAACACAGTCCATGAACAGACTGTGGCAGAGCACCCGTGAAGCACGAGAAAGGAGGAAAAGGCTGAAATAATCCATTTAAAATTAAAGCTTTAAATTATAGTTAAAAATTATAGTTTTATAAGAAATAAACAGCTGACATTTCCCACCAATAATTTTTAAAAGATCAAAGCTGCATGAGTGAACGCCGTCTTCCATCAGTGGTGAGCACTTGGAGGATGTGCGAGGGAGAGTATGAAGTGGGAGCTCCCAGTGTGTGCCTGACCAAGGACACCCAGAGTCAGCCCTGCGGAGGGTGGTGTGGACAAGGGTGTGGCTAACACAACAGAAAGGGGGTGAGAAGAGGGTGGAGGGTGTTGGACACTGAGAACTGAGCAACCAGATGCAATGGGGTTCACACTTAATCCTGTGTTAAACAAACCAAGTGTAAAACATATTCGGGGGAAATTGGAGAGATCTGAATATGGACTGGGTGTTAGATAAGAAAGACACACATTTAATGACAGAGAAAGATGAAAGTAACTGAAAAAGTAATAAAAAAGCATGATAAATATGAGCTCACTGTGGTGAAGACTACTCACACATAAACACACGAAAGAAGAAGCTGAACAACAAGATGTTAATAGTGGTAACCTCTGAATGGCAGGAACGTGGCATTTTAAATTTTATTTTCTAAAGAAATGACTACCTGTATTTTCTAACTTTCACAGTTTATATTGCCATTTTTATAATAATTAAAGATTTGTAATATAAAGAAGAATTAGTTAAGCCCGATAATGATGTAACAATTGCCTTCAAATATACCTATGCTGATACACTGCTTAACAACTCAACTCAGAACTAGAGAAAAGTACAAATTATTATAAGGGTTTATTTATTTATTTTTTGAAGATTTTATTTATTTATTTGACAGAGAGAGACACAGCGAGAGAAGGAACACAAGCAGGGGGAGTGGGAGAGGGAGAAGCAGGCTTCCTGCGGAACAGGGAGCCCGATGCAGGGCTCAATCCCAGCACCCTGAGCTGAAGGCAGATGCTTAATGACTGAGCCACCCAGGCGCCCCTATTATAAGGATTTAAATTGGAAATAATGTATTCTGAGGTTTATAATATATATAGAAGTAAAATATATGGTAACAACACAAAAGCTGGAATGGGAAACAAGCCTAGTATTAAGGTTCTTTTTTTTTTAATTTTTATTTATTTTTTAAGTAATCTCTACACCCCACATTGGGCCCAAACTCATAATCCGAAGTTCAAGAGTCGCACGCTCCACCAACTGAGCCAGCCAGGCGACCCTTGTAAGGTTCTTACATGTGAAGGAGTATATTAGAAAGGTAAACAAATATATATAGCTAATAAGCCAATAATGGAAATGAAATGGAATCATGAAAAATATTCAATCCAAAAGAATGCAGAGAAAGAATTAAAAAAAAATGGAAAAGTCAAGTAAAAACAAACAGCAAGACAGGAGATTCAAACTCAACCACATCAATAACCATTAATTAACATTAAATAACAGGGGCTGGAAACCTTTCTTTTTTTTAAAGAAATTTTTTTTTTAATTTTTTTTTTTGAGACTTTATTTATTTGCGAGAGAGACAATGAGAGACAGAGAGCATGAGAGGGAGGAGGGTCAGAGGGAGAAGCAGACTCGCTGCCGAGCAGGGAG